GAATTTTTATGAACCCTCTTTCAGCATATCTGTTTCTACTGGGGTGAGATCAAGTTCCTTTATTGTGAGCACTCAGTAGGTGCTCAATAAATGCTTATTGCAAGAATGAATAACTACAAAGAGATATTTAGGCTCCTTTTTTTTCACTATAAGAGGTAAAGTTTTATGTAGTGTTATTTTTCCCCATGACATTTACGTAATAAAAAGTTCAGTATGAGAATTAATTTAAAATAATACTATAAGAATGGTACATTTAAGGGTAGAAATTTAAAGAATTAAAAAAAAAAGCTAAGGTGTGCCCACGAAATTTCTAATAATAGCATGCTTGACCAGGAAAATGGATATGAATATTCATGAACGAATTTCAGATGAAAGGAAATTTTCAATGTAAGCCATGCAAGTTTAAATTAACATAAAGAAAACACAATTATTTGTAAAAACAACCATATACATTAAGAGAAATAATAACTCTCTTTAAATTTGCATTTTCAATACTGTCTGTGCAAAATTGCTTGTAGTGTCCTCAAATGGGGTCTGTGGCCAGATGCGTAGAAAACATCCCCTCAACTGGTATACAGTGAAGCAGCATGGCCTGCCATTTCCTTTAACTAGATGGAGTCTGGCAAGGTCACGGCCGTGCTTTCGAGCAACTGGCCTGGATATGTGAAACCTGCAGAATGGGCAGTAGTAGCTGGAATGCATCCTGCACATACGTCGTGCTATTGCAGCCCTGCAAGAGGGGGAAAATGTGGTTGAAGGGTTATTTTCAGAGTTCAATCTCAACAATTCTTCCAATTTGATAATGTTCCCTCTCCTCAAATTCCACAATATTGGATTGTATTTTTCTTGTAATGTTGGTGTTTAAAACAAATGTAAACACATTCTTTTGGATGGAGTGTATCCTACTTGCAATTATACTGACAGAGGGAAGAATTCACTCCAAATGAGGCAAATTGTTTCCATGGGTTTTTAGGGTACATCAGCGTGTGTATATTCATGACCCAATATGCCTAGTCTTTTCTATCCTTTTCATAGATCAACCCTACTGCCCTGGAATAATACAAAAGTATGAAGGAGGACAGTTCGTCCTAACCTATAGATGAATAAGCAAGAATGGTCTCCATGAAGCTAACTGGAGATATTACTGTGCAATTATTCACGGCAAATCCTTGAGCACTGTCATCCTTCCATGCACGTGGGTACCTTCTGATTGTTTTGGATAGCTGATATTACTATTCATGTTCTGTGGTGCACTAACAAACAGTATTAGACAGAGAGGCAATTTAAAGGCGAGGGTAATGAAAACACATGAAAGCTTCCACTGGAGAAATGAGAAAATATTTGACCTCATATTCTTCATGGTTGACATGGTAAATTAATCTGCTAATGCCTTCTGGGTGGCCAGAGAACACATATTCTTGTACTATATTCTGCCTTTTACTGCTAGGATTTCCTCTAGGCTGTGTCTATCCCTCCAGGACCTGCCCCAACAGCTCCTGCCCTCTCTCGACTCTGTTCCACTGTGTGGCTAGATTCTGAACAATAACCCTCAGAGCCACGACTTTGTTATTTTTGTACCTTGGTAATTTTCCTGAACAGCAAGGCACAATTCCCAAAAACGTTGATATAAATATACAGGTAGCCCTCTTGGAATTTTATAATTTCCAAATTTTGCAACTGACAGCTACTTCAGAAAGCAAAAAACTACTGTATGAGTACATGTGTTTTCCATGTTCAAACTTAGCTTGTTACCTGAACAGCAAGGCACAATTCCCAAAAACGTTGATATAAATATACAGGTAGCCCTCTTGGAGTTTTATAATTTCCAAATTTTGCAACTGACAGCTACTTCAGAAAGCAAAAAACATGTATGAGTACATGTGTTTTCCATGTTCAAACTTAGCTTGTTATTAACACCTGTGGCTTCAGCTGAGTGCCCTGTGGCTACAGATGTGCCCATTTCTTATAGTTTGCCTCCTATTGGAAGATTTTCCTCCAGCAACCACAAGTAGAACACAGTGCCTATGACCCAAGAATGAGAAAGCTTCCCGGTCCTCTTCTCTCTCATATCACTGTTTCTGGCAATGCCACGGCAGTGTTAGGGCAGCATCATATCTGTGCAACTGATGCTACAAAGTCCTGGTGAGTGGACAGGCCACAGAGTGAGCCATCACAGAGAATGGTGCCTTTGTCACTGAATGGGCATAGGCTAAACATTCTACTTGTCATTTTTGCCATCCTGGAACTTAGACCCCGCTAAACCAAAGGTTACTGTGCATGGAGGAAAGTGCCCATTTTTACCAAAATCGCCACTGAGCAATAATACCTCATTGCAGCCAATAACAATAGTGTTAAATCTAGTGTCAATCTTGGCAGCAGAGATCAGCTTCTGCCGGAGGAATCAGTGACAGAAATAACGTGCAATCTCGGCGTTTCTTTTTATAATCAGGAATTCTTGAAAATTAGGTATTGTTGCTTCACCAGAGGGTTTACAGCTGGTTGAGCTACACAAATATACTCAAAAAAGGCTGTTGATGATAAGATTTAGAACTGCAATAACACTTGCTGCCTGGGAGAAAGACACACACACAAAAATGTAGCTCTAACATTTGCTCTGATTCGGGAGCACTTTCTCTCTGGGGGCTGCTTACCTCTAATAATACGCTATTGATCATGGGGGTAAGGACCTCGGCCTTCTTGTTGCTCTGTGGAATCAAAAGTATGAAGTCGACAGATTAGGTGCTCATACTACAAGGCTTGCTACATAAAATGTAATGCACTGGCTTTGTTAAGGGATCTCTCAGAGAGCAAGGGGAGGAGAAGTGAAATGCTTACCACAGACCAGGCTTTGTATTTGGTGCTTCACCTACATGATCTCATTTAATATTGAAAGAGATTCTAGGAGGCAGGATGAGAACCCCAATTTAAAGAAGAGAAAATAGGGATCAAAAAGGCTGAGCAACTTCTTTAAGGTCACACAGCCTTAAAATGGAAACTCAGACCTTTTTAACTACAGTTTGTAGCAGGTCTGGTAATAGGGTGAGGTGAGTGAGGCCGAGTTGTGCAAGTGCAGAAATGGATTCTGTCTTTACTTAAAATTTGATACTTTGTTCATCATGGGTTTTTTTTTTACATTTTTATTTTTAAAAATATTGCATTAAAATATCTAATTACTGAGGGTT